TTAAATATTTTATTACAATTTCATATTTTTATAAAATTTTTTAGTTTTTTCCGATTTTAAATATTTTTTTTTAACTTTTCATTTCAATTTTCTATTTTTTCATTTTTCGTTTCTGTTATTATTTCATTTCGCTCTTTGCTCATTTGCAGTATTCATGCCATTATCGCCTTCAGTAACGACTGTGTGTCAATGTTACGCATTCTTCATCATTTTCAAACAGTTAATATACAATTAACGGTTTTTATGCTCCAAATACATAAATATATTTCATGAGAAGTTTCTTGTTATTGCAAAAATTGAGCATTAAGCTGGTTTTTTATAAAAAGTTAACTGATGATAGAAATGTACTTGAGAGATGAAATGTTTGTCTAAAACAGAAACAGAAACAGAGCCAAGAAATAAACAAGAAAACCCGTTATTTTCAACTACACCGAAGTTATAATACCCCTCATATGTGCATTTCTTATTGCATAGAAGGGTATAAAAAGATATGTTTCTTGATTTCAATCGCTCAGTTTGTATGGCAGCTTTATAATATAGTGGTTCGATTTGGGCAATTTTTTTGAAGATTATACCGTTATCTTGGAAAATACTATATGCCAAATTTCGTGACGATATCTTGTCACGTCAAAAAGTTTTTCATACAAGAGCTCGATTTCGATAGTTCAGTTTGTATGGTAGCTATATGTAAAAGCCGTTCGATCTAACCGATTTGTTTGGAGAATGTAGCGTTGCCTTTGAGAATAAATCATACCAAATTAGATGAAAATATCTTGTGAAATTAAAAAGTTTTTACAACGAAAACTTGATTTTGTTTAACCTGTTTGTATGGCAGCTATATGATATAGTAATCCGTTATGAAAAATTTTTTCGGAGATTATACGGTAGGCTTGAAAAATAATATAAATCTATAATTCTTGTAGATATGTAGCCAAGTAAATAGCTTTTCCATACAAGCACTCGATTTTGGTCGATTAGTTTGTATGGCAGCTGTATGCTAAAAAGATCCGATAGCGTCGATTTTTACAAATGAGTTGTTTCTTGGAGATACAAAAATTTTTGCAAAAATTTCACATCGATATCTCAAACACTAAGAAACTATTTCACTTATATATTGATAGACACACAAACTTGGTTAAATGGACTCAGCCAACTTTCCAAAATTTCGATCGTGTCCTTATAAGTGTTGCCAAAAATTGTATTTCTTACTCCTTATCTCTTTTAAGCACAAGTTACTTTAATGCAAACAGTATTTAATGACACCTGTTTCTCACTTCCCAATATTTCGCTGCCTCTGCGCAGTCTCAGCTTACAAATGATACAGGCGCTGCCGTGCGCTCTATTCTTCACACTCTTTAGGAAACAATAATCACCGCATTCACACAGTTTATTGCAAAAAATATAATTATCGGAATTCCATTTAATGAGACTCGTAAAAACACACGCGCCACAAATTGATTGAACAAATCGTCGAACAAAATGTTCGGAAGCAAAAAATAACATTTTTAATTTTTAATTTTTTCACTTTTAATCGTATGCAAAGCAGCGTGTAAAGCGCATAAATAATAATGAGAAGCATGAAATAAGTGAAACGGTAATTATCGCCATTTAAATTTGCATACAAATCAGCTGAGGAGAATAGAAGTGAGCAACTAAAAAATACTTAGAATTACTAATGCAATTGTACTAAAATAATAAATGTTTGCCTATAAAAATTAAAGTTTTTGTAAATATTGGAATTATTTTTGGTGTATTTATAGAAAATATAGAGGCGCACGCTGACCTTCAGCGAAAATTTTCGGAATTTCAATAAAAAATATTTGCTCCCACGCGCTCATTTTTCAATAAAAAGTATTGATAACCATTTCTATGAGCCAATTAGCATAACGCACCTACTTTTCGTAGCACTTGCACATAAAATGCTGTTGTAGGCGCTAACTAGTTAAATGCCCTTATGCTTATGCAACAGCAAGGCGGATTGTGGCAGCAACACAGATCTGTAAATTAACAGCTTCGCTCAATTGTAAGCTTAATTTCCCAGCGCAAGCCAAGCCAAGCCAACAAACTAAATAAAAATAATTGAACTTTCTGTGCGCTATGCTATGCGCTGATATGCGATGGCTATGTGGTGCTCGGTTATGTTGTGCAGTGCTAAGTTGCGTTGACATTTCTCGTTTACACATTTCATTTTGATTTGTTAGCTCATTGTGAAAATCTCATGCACTTGTCAACACTCACTCACAAAAGCAAAGAGATGCGTATGAAATATGGTATGTGGGTATACACAAAGGAGTATTTAGGTTGTGGCGTTATTTGCTATGCCGCAATTACTTAATATGACAGCTTATGGGGCAGACAAAGTAAACAATTGTCTATAGTGGGCTGAGTTTTTGAAAAGTGATTGAGCGCTGTATTGACAGTAAAAATTGGAGAAGGTGCTGTTATGTGATTACCAAACACTTTTTGCTTATCAAATCTTAATATTTAAGTGAGTGTAGTCAAGTGTGTGAGCAAAACTAGTTGAAACATGGCAGCGAGAATTAGGTCGTTTAAGTTACAGATCGGCACCTAAAATACCAAGCAACGAATATTAAAATCGTTGTCAGATATAATAACCAATATATAACCATTTTATAATCAAAACTCAAATTTTGTTTCAATATGAGTGGTTTCTTAATCGTTTTTCCTTCCTCTGTAAACTTACGAAAAATTATGTTCTTTTAGTTTGCATTTTAAGTGACAATATATTCAAGCAAAATTCATATCAACCAAATGTAGGCAGCATTACAGTTATATAATTATCCCTTCCTTTACCAGTAACAAAAAAAAACATAAAGAAATTTTGTTTTCAAAATAGCAATTTGACTCACATTGTGCCCTTTGGTACGGTCATCATTAGATTATTCAACACTGGAATGGCATTCTTCTTCTTGCCGTACGTTTTAAAGGCGTGTCGCACCGACACGGCAGCCTGTGAGTTCCGATTCCATTGTGCTGCTGTTCCGCCATCATTATTTGTGGCCATGGCGGGTTCGCTGGTGCTGCAAGCAGAAAATAAAGAAAATAAAAATATTTTATGGAATAAATAAATATAAAATAATTGTTTTATTTTGTTTGTCATTAAATAAA